CTCTTGACTTACACTTCTTGACTTACACCTCTTGACTTACACCTCTTGACTTACACTTCTTGACTTACACTTCTTGACTTACACCTCTTGACTTACATCTCTTGACTTACACCTCTTGACTTACACCTCTTGACTTACACCTCTTGACTTACACCTCTTGACTTACACCTCTTGACTTACACTTCTTGACTTACACCTCTTGACTTACACCTCTTGACTTACACCTCTTGACTTACACCTCTTGACTTACACCTCTTGACTTACACCTCTTGACTTACACCTCTTGACTTACACCTCTTGACTTACACCTCTTGGCTTACACCTCTTGACTTACACCTCTTGACTTACACCTCTTGACTTACACCTCTTGACTTACACCTCTTGACTTACACCTCTTGACTTGCATCTCTTGACTTACATCTCTTGACTTACACCTCTTGACTTACACCTCTTGACTTACACCTCTTGACTTACACCTCTTGACTTACACTTCTTGACTTACACCTCTTGACTTACACCTCTTGACTTACACCTCTTGACTTACACCTCTTGACTTACACCTCTTGACTTACACCTCTTGACTTACACCTCTTGACTTACACCTCTTGACTTACACCTCTTGACTTACACCTCTTGACTTACACCTCTTGACTTACACCTCTTGACTTACACCTCTTGACTTACACCTCTTGACTTACACCTCTTGACTTACAGCTCTTGACTTACACCTCTTGACTTACACCTCTTGACTTACACCTCTTGACTTACACCTGTGAGCGGAGAAATGTTGCGCACGATAACACTGTAGCCAGGAAAGGGCCGCATTTGTTCCAGAGACATATTTCTTAGCGAGGGGCCACTTACGACAAGACCGCGTGGATTACCTGACTCCCTTATAGCATAGTCCACACATAAAAGTGATGTCACCGCGTTATAAACGAGGAAAAGTGATACAAGAGTGTCATACAAGAGGAAAGGTGATTTAAGAATGCTATACAAAAGAAAAAGTGATTCAAGAGTGTCATACAACAGGAAAGGTGATTCAAGAGTGTAATACAACAGAAAAGGTGATTAAAACATGCCAGGCCACAAGATTGATAAAGCAAAAAAAAAGCAGAAATGTGATATAAGAATCCCAGAATACAAGAAAGATGATTCAAGATTTATCTTCACATACAAGAATTCTAGACCACACGAAAAGTGACTGAAGAATTCCGGACCAAAAGAAGGTTGATAGAAGAATTTTAGACCACAAGAACGGAGACAAGAGTTCCAGGAAATGCATGCAATCAAGTGACAGAAACAGTGATGTAAGATTTCCAGAGACAAGAATGGTGATGCTGTAGTTCTAAGCCACACGAAAGGTGATACAAAAATTCCAGACTACAAGAAAGGTGATACAAGATTTCTAGATCACAAAAAGTGATGCAATAGTTACAATGACAAGAATGGTGATGGAAGCGTTCTAGAAAACATGAAAAAGTTGTACTAGAGTTTCAGATCACAAGAAGGGAGATGCCAGAGAAGTGAACTGTGCTCTGTTCTAAGGCGTAGAATAATGACTTACTAAGGCCTGAATTACAAAAATAAATGATACAAGGCGTACTTACATACCCAGGCCACACATACAAAGGCAGTCATAGTTAAGCAAGACGTACTCATGCATGCAGGAACACAGGACAGATCATGCACATAGCCACCGTTTGAAAGAACATCCTTGAAAGTGTTAAAGAGACACAACAACTGTGGAAAAGACTAGTCACTGGTAGAGCTACTAGAACTGACTGAACCTGCACAATGACAGCTATCGATTTCCTGCAGGAATGTGCACGGTATGCTGTGAGACTTACTGGAAATAGAAGCCCAGACATGTGAATATCTGAAGATGCGTTGCTACAACGCTTCGGAAGCTTTTTCTGGCCAATATATACTCCACAACAGCCAAGTGCTGGGGGGAAAGGGGGGGGGGGATGCTGGGGTGGATGAATGGGTGAATGGATGACTCAATGAATAAAGAACTGGCATCATTGCACTTAGGGCATTCCCATACGGGCTCAGTCCCCTTCTTCAGTAGCCAACGAAGAGTACCTGATACAACATGATTAAAAGTCCGCCTGTTTCCCCTTCTGTGTTGAATATCTTTCAGAACGTCGGAGAGAAAATAAACACATTTGCTGGACATCAGGAGCCTCTCGTGGCAGTGGTGAAACGTCGCAAGCTAGCTTGGTTTGGGCACGTGGTGAGACATGATTCTATTGCAAAGACAAGGAACATTAGGGCGTAGTAGACGAAGGGAAGGGCAAAGAAGAATTGGAATGTCAACATCAAGAAATTGACAGGACTAAGTTATCAAACACTTATTTATCAAGCAGAAGACAGAGAAAGATAGCGGGTTGTGTGTGCCAGTGATTCCATCGATACACCTCCACGACTCTAATAGGTCAAGGGTTGTGTTATGTTACTCGCCCACGTTAGTCTTTCAGGTGCATCGATTCTCGGTCTGTTCTGTTGCACTATCCATTTGACCTTAGAGAGCCTCTACCACGTCGGCTCTATCGTAAAGTAGATCACAGTAAAGAACAGCAGGAACAGTTAATCTCGTTACCTCGCAAGTCACCTGGTCTGTCTTAACAAGTGCTGTAAGACTCTCTGCACACACGGCAACTGGTTCAAATTTTCTAAGCATGCTGACTGAGAGAAGGAAAAAACATGTCTCACTTTCGCACCACTGTTATTTGCACTAATCTGCACCGTTGCCAAAGAGAGTAGTGGTGTCGCTAGGCGAAGCTTTCGCCATGTCCTAAGACAGCCTGAAAGGCCGGACAACGGCCTTTCCCTCAACACAAATTTCCTACTCAACAACTTAAACACCAGGTATGTCATCTGAACGGGCCACACATTAACGGAAAGGTATTGATCGCTTTTTTTCTTCACAAAGGTCCATATCAAGCAATCTGTTCCCCTCTTCCTCTTCAAGACTTAGTCAGGAGCGGTTGTTAATGAATGATATAGGATAGGTGGTGTTGATGATCATTGATGACGATCGTGTTCTTTACGGGGCAGCTAAGGCTGTGGAGTCAGCGGAAGACAGAGGACTATACTAATGTTGTTGGGACGCTAAAAACAGAGGACTATACTAATGTTGTTGGGACGCTAAAAACAGAGGACTATGCTACTGTTGTTGAGAGGCTCAAGACAGAGGACAAAACTTATATTGTTGAGACTGTGGTAGATAGTGGACAATACATTTGTCGTTGAGATGGGAGATATGTCTGTCAACATACATCCAGTTGTGTACACAAGATATGTGTGTCAACATACATCCAGTTGTGTGCACAAATCTGATCTTTAAAGATGTGCGGTCAGAAATGTGTGTCAACATACATCCAGTTGTGTACACAAATCTGATCATGAATGACGTGCTGTGAGATATGTCTGTCAACATATATCCAGGTGTGTACACACATCTGATCATTAAAGACGTGCTGTGAGATATGTCTGTCAACACACGACCAGTTCTGTTCACAAATCTGATCATTAAAGACGTGCTGTGAGATATGTCTGTCAACATACAACCAGTTGTGTACTTAAATCTGATTGTTAAGGCGTGCTGTGAGATATGTGTGTCAACATACATCCAGTTGTGTTCAGAAATCTTATCATTGTGACAGCAAGAAGAAATAAGGAGGGAAAACAAGAAGAAAGGGAGAGAAAATTGTGGTTAGAACAAAAGTCATAGTAGTTCCCGACTAAACAACAAAATCAGAAAAGTAAAGACAAGACAGGGGTTCTCCGCAGAGATCCCAGATATTTCACCGAGACCCTAACTATGGATATCTGCATAATAACGTTACATAAGGTCTACCTAACTACATGGGTACACACACTTAGACAACCACAGACTACAGATCCTAAATTAAGTCAAGCAAATGAATTCTGATCACATTAAACAGTTTATTTTACTCAACATCACATCAGCGTGGTCAACAAATAACGACATTAACGACAACTACGTTGTCGACCAGAATCTCAAATATATAGCGACCTATCATCCAACTATCTCTTAGCAAGAATACAAATGCAAATTAATATTAAAACCAGCTAACCAACTGAACGTACCATCGCCTGAAATCAGTCAGACCACGAACTTTCAACACGATCCCTATACCTGTCGACTAGCCCATTGTCAAAGCACAGTCTCTAGGTAGGTTACGTGGGTCCGTCCGGAAGTCAAATAGATGGAAAATCTGTCAGTCCGGTCTTTAAATACCTCAGTGGCCAGATTTGTCCCGTGTTACCGTCTAACACTAATAAATGGTTATGTTTCCCAATCGGCCTGTTGGCCATTTTCAAATCAGAATAAATTCAAGATCTTCTGGCTGCTGAACCGTATGTTTCCAGCCTGTTACATCATGAAAGACATAAATTAAACGTGTATCTGTATATACTCAGTACACCTGAAGGAGCGGAGAGGGGTTATTTACCTAAGTATGTGTTACCTTGAAAAAACACATAGTTGATACTGTGGAGTTACTTTAACAATACTATCGAACTAAAGGTATTAAAGTAACTCTCGGGACAGTGTAACAACCACAAAGGGGAACAACATGTTGTGAAAGGTGCATCAGGCAAAGTCTTACACCTAAAGGCATTCTCCGTTGTTCGATAACGAATGTTTGCAAAGAGACACACAAACACACAAAAACCGACCCTATTTGAGACGATGCTAGCTTTGAACATTACTCTATCAGCACATATGTTTTCTCGCTTCTTTCTTGTTTACTTTCATTCTTACCAAATCTAATGTGTAATCTGTGCCCCTGTCTTCAGCACAAAACAGCTTAGGCACGACATAAACAGAGACCAACCATCTGTCTGCAGCACAAACAAACTTGGGCACGACACAGAGTCCAACCGCTCAACCTCCTTGTATCAGGATTGGCCTCTTGCTGACATAATTCCAGGATTTCTAGGACTGTAACAGTGAGAGAACCACACACATGGGCTTGTCAAGGTACCATTCATTCAGCGGGAATGTCTACTCAGAGCCGTGCGTGGCCCCACGAGCTCAACAAGAACCAGTCCGTCGAGAAAGACCGCGGAATGAAAACTTCAAGAGAGACTATTTTGTTGGATCGAGAAATGTGTTTAACCTGAATGTGCTGAACTTTAAGCAGTTTCTTGGAGACAAAGAGAAAACCCTGGTCATGTTTTACAACAGCGATAAATGCCAACCGTATGGTCTTGAGAACGAGTTTGCAAAAGTAAGTTCTCTTTGTCATCGTTTTACTCGTTTGGATTCTCAGGGCCTATTATTGGAAGAAAAAAATGGTCCCACTTTCCCCACAACATGCATGTTGTAAGAGTCGACTAAGTGGGTCCAGGAGCAGGATATGTAGGGGAGGGGGCTTTCTTCAAAGCGCACTTACCTGAGAGGCAAGGAACTAGCAGGCTGCTACCAATAAGTCGGATCTGTAATATGGATATGCACGCTACATTCAGGTACTGGAACATGAATAAACTGCAGAGGGGGACAAACTTCTTTAAGAAGAAGAAGAAGAGAAAGAAGAAGAAGAAGAAGAAGAAGAAGAAGAAGAAGAAGAAGAAGAAGAAGAAGAAGAAGAAGAAGAAGAAGAAGAAGAAGAAGAAGAAGAAGAAGAAGAAGAAGAAGAAGAAGAAGAAGAAGAAGAAGAAGAAAGAAGAAGAAGAAGAAGAAGAAGAAGAAGAAGAAGAAGAAGAAGAAGAAGAAGAAGAAGAAGAAGAAGAAGAAGAAGAAGAGAAGAAGAAGAAGAAGAAGAAGAAAAAAGAAAAAGAAGAAGAAGAAGAAGAAGAAGAAGAAGAAGAAGAAGAAGAAGAAGAAGAAGAACAACAACAACAACAACAACAACAACAACAACAACAACAACAACAACAACAAATACAAGAACAAGAACAAAAACTACAAGTCATCGTCTGTTACATTGCTTGTTCTTGCGTCACCAGCTGCTGTTTATTGTCTGATAGTCTACCTCCATCTTGACCTGTCAGATGTGATGGACTTCATCGTTGCCTGCATAAGTTCTGTCGAATCAGTCAAGCTCTGTCGAATCAGTCAAGTTCTGACGAGTCAGTCAAGTTCTGTCGAGTCAGTCAAGTTCGATATCCAGAACTATCTGCGTCTGTCTCTTTTTTTCTGTTAGGCCCTAAAGTATTGTTTCTGAGGGTCCGCTAGATCTCATTAAATGTCCGTTCCATTACACGTTCCATCTTTCCACTGTAGTTTAAAAGAAATCTTATCTGTCTATGTGCTGGATAATTATGCGGCCAGCCTTATCATTTTTGATGTGGTATCTGTATGATATTCCAAGAATGTTTCTGGAAGATCTCATTTCGAATGCTCGTATCATTTTTGTGTTGATCTGATTAAGTCCATGTTTCACACCTATATGAAAACGGACTAAAAACAAGTGCTCTGAGTAGTCGTAGGTAGTTTCACGTTAAATGATTTAAAATCTGTTGTTTTGCAAGGACTGATCTTCTCTGGCCTGTCCTAGACCTTATTTCTGGTGTGGATCCTTTTCTTCTTCTGCCTTTCTATTTCCCAATAGAGCATAAGCCCTCAACCTACTCACGCCAAGTCGTTCTAGCCTTCGCTATTACATGGCACTCTCCTCATGTCCTCCCCCTTTTTCTAACTTTATTCTCCAGCACTCTTTTTTCATATGTTTTAGGCCTTCATTTATTCGTATGCCCATGTGGGTTCCAATGCAAAGACATTCTATCTAGTATTCTTGTTCTCCGGTTTTAAAAATGTGTGCCCTATCCAACGCCAGCGTCTTTCCTCACCTCTTGGTCCACTGAAGCTCTACATTTGTTATTCTATCATACAGTTTAATTCTCTCTATTATGCACAGGCACCAGTTACCGAATATCTTCAATTTACTAGTAGTTTCCTTAGTTGTTCTCCGTATTTCCACTAGTTAAAGAAAGTCTGCAATTTATTAGTAGTCGCCTTAGTTGTTCTCAATGTTTCCGCCCCATACAAAAGTACTGTGCACCCTAAGTTATATAAATTGATCCTAAAGAATCGAAATAATTGATATGATCTTAATTGACATTCAACGTACATTGATGTTGTTAGGACCTCTGGATTATCAGTCATTTTTTCAGTCCTTTCCTGGTTTATTTCCATGGCAAACCTGTTTAATCAAGCAGGTGGCTAGCCTTAACTAAGCCGGAAGAAACCGAGCCATGTGACATAAAACATGTTAATTGAAGTCAATTCTGACTACTTTAACTTTAACTTAATCCGTATTTAAGCCTTGAGTTTTGTGTGGGCACCCGCTTCAAATATCTCACACGTTTGTGTGCAGACTATTGGTTTCTTGCCTCACAGGCAAACTGACTTCGACTAAACACCCATAATTAGACGCCTTTTACGACACAATAGTCAGAGGCAGAGAGTTAATTTCCACACTCACCAATGGATCCTAGAACCCAGGCCTTGATTTGTGTATCAGAACTGGATCAAAGACTTGGCAGATTTCAGTTACAAGTGCCTGCTGGGGCTGCTGAAAGCTCCAAAGCTGCAGACCGACGTTCATGTTTCCTTAAATGATTCAGTTGTAGGTATTATCTGTACTTCACTTCCATAGATGCCAGTTATCGATACATATGCCTTGTGACTCTCCCAATATGTCATTTTAGTCTGCGATTCCCGGTAGAGGTTGAAATGTCAGGTCTTGTCTGTGACTCTCGGTAGAGGCTGATATGTCAGGTCTTGTCTGTGACTCTCGGTAGAGGCTGATATGTCAGGTCTTGTCTGCGATTCCCGGTAGAGGTTGATATGTCAGGTCTTGTCTGCGATTCCCGGTAGAGGTTGATATGTCAGGTCTTGTCTGTGACTCCCGGTAGAGGTTGATATGTCAGGTCTTTTCTGTGACTCCCGGTAGAGGTTGATATGTCAGGTCTTGTCTGTGACTCCCGGTAGAGGTTGATATGTCAGGTCTTGTCTGTGACTCCCGGTAGAGGTTGATATGTCAGGTCTTGTCTGTGACTCCCGACAGAGGTTGAGGTGTCATTCTTGTTGGTGACTCCCGACACAGGTTGCCGAGTCCGTCCAGTCTCTGACTTCCAGCGATCGTCGATGTGTCAGAGTTCTCTCCTGGGTGCACCATTGATGGTTTGCAACAACAAAATCAGATACTGATGTTCCGAAAACTACTATGAAAGATATTATCCGCTGATATATATAAAAGCCTAGCCAACCTATAAACGTTCAACTTTGACCGATTTAGAAGTTAAAAATCAGTACGACAGATGTTCTGCCCGGCGATGATTCGTAGCAAAGTAGGCCGTTTACTCGCTCTGACGCCCCTGTGACATTTCTTCTGATCCTGGTTTTTAAACGATAATTGTCACACACACACACATACGCACGCGCGCGCACACACACACACACACACACAATGTTTTTTTTTTTTTTTTTTCAAATTTTCCAGAATATGATGTAACCGATCGAATTTAGCCAGTGTATAAGTCCCAGTCATTGTGTGTGTGTGTGTGTGTGTGTGTGTGTGTGTGTGTGTGTGTGTGTGTGTGTGTGTGTGTGTGTGTGTGTGTGTGTGTGTGTGTGTGTGTGTGTGTGTGTGTGTGTGTGTGTGTGGCATCTCTAAAGATTTTAACTCATGACATCAGAGCCGGCATGCTAGCCCCTGCTCAACTTTGGCTCCAATTATTTTGATAATTGACATATTTTTTTTTTAAATCACTTTTCGTGATGTCATTTTCCAGATAGCTGACAAAAATGATAATGACAGCTACGGATTTGGAGCTGTCGACTGCGCTACGGACGGTCCTATATGTACCGGAGAGGACGCCTGTCAGACACCCATGTTCAAACTCTACTCCAACGGCTATGAAGTGAGCGGCATCCGAGACACATCCCGCTTCAATGCCAAGCAGGTGTTTCTGCTGATGGTTATGACTCCAACGCTGGTTGGCAGCCGGAACTATTGAGGCACCACTCCAACTCTGATTGGCAGCCCGAGCAATTGAGGCACCACTCCAATATGTTGTGGTCATCGGGTACATGAGCAATATTTTCAGTAACGTTTTGAATGGAAATCAGTACATGTGGACAGTGCTGACTTCGGGATAACCTCGCTTTCAAAAAGACATGAGTATTTGACTGGTGTGTCAACATCGGCAGTGTGCCTGCATCTTGACAAATGAACATGCCCACTAAAAAGACTTTCGATAAAATTGTGCAGCAACAAAGAGTAAATATATGACAGATTCACAGACGCTAAAAGTGTTCGTTTATTATCTTTTTTGTTCCTTGTTTTGCAGTAAAACCACTTTGAATCCATTTTTTTTTCCTCTCTTGGATAATTATTATGTCCGGAGTGCAATGAAGATAACCCAACTAACTAACTAACTAACTTTCTTCTTCTTCTTCTCTTCCACCTTGTACCTCATCGAAGTGTCGGGGGGAGATGTAATGTTCGTTGATGAGCTCTGTCAAGAGCACTATTAAGACTGATGTTCATTTCTGTAAGGCTGTTCTTAATGCCATCACTCCATATTTTCCGAGGTCTTCCACTCGCTTTATACCCGTTGTAACGTTTTAGTGTGGCTCGCTGTGGCAGATAGTACCAGGGCATTCTTGTTAGGTGTCCAAACCATTTCATTTGTTGTTCTTTGATGACCTGTAAGACTAGCTTTATTCCTAGCATTCGTCTGATTTCATGATTTTGTATTCTGTCTTTCCTTGAAACTCCTGCAGCTCTTCTAAGGCATTTCATCTCTGTTGTCACAATTTTACGTTCATTGGAGGATGTAAGTGTCCACGTTTGGCACTGATAGCATAGTATTGGCCAAAAAATAGTTCTGATAAGATTCACTTTAGTACTCCGAGGTATCTGCTTGTGTGTCAACAGGGGAGATAGTTGACCCATTACTTGATTAGCTTTGGCACATCTGGAACTAAACTAACTAACTAACTAAAGATAATAATTTTTTTTTTTTTTTTTTAATGCGTCACATTGCGTTGTCACTGAAAGACAATGGAAGCCAACTGAAGATCGACCACGTAACCAACAGATAGATGGAGTTTTCGAGATCGTGAAAACCCACATCTACATAACAGATTAAACAGCCTTAAAAGTCTATGGTTAAGCACCATCAAGGAGATAAAAATTAGAATTTTGAGAGCATGCATCTTCTCTGTGGCTACATACGGATGTAAGTCGTGGACTATCTCTCGGTCCTTAAGAAAGAGAATAGGGGCTTTTGAGCTGAAATGCTATAGAAAGATTCTCAGAATATTTTGGACAAAGAAGATGAGAAAAATTGACATCTTAAAAGATCTGAACATCCTGGAAGATTGGCTAATAAACAGCATCCTTTCTCGAAAGCTGAAATATTTTGGTCATATCATGCGCCACGACGGATTGAAAAAAAAAAATATAGCAGAAAGCATGATACCAGGAAGGAGGGGCAGGGGCCGACCGACACGAAGATGGGCACATGATATAAGTGACTCCTTAAGTGTGAAAGTTCATGAGGCGGTAGAACTGGCGAGAGACCGAGTTTCTTTCAGGCAGACTGTGATGAGAGAGACGTTCTGCAAAGGACCTGCTACATGATATTGATGACATAGCACATACGAACGTGCGTATCCGGCACCTCCTTATAACCTTACCATGACAAGTAGCACCGGATCATGGACGAAGAACTTAAGTTGTCATTGGTTGGCAAAAACGTCATCAATCCGTAGAAAAGTCAGCAAGGCCATAATCGTCGTCTTCTTCTTCTTCACTTCCTATTTTACCGCTGTGGGTGTCCAGGAAGAAACAAGGTTCTGTTTCTAGCTCTTCTGGCCGCCTCGACCATAGGCATATCGTGCTGTTGTAGAGTTTCTCTGATGTTATCCTTCCATCTTGTTCTTGTTCTACCTCGTGCTCTACGTCCTTTTTCTCTTTCCATGTATAATCGTCGTCGCTTTCATTATTATTACACAACTTGTACCAAAACGCCGTTTATGGTTGGTTCGTCGGTCGCCTATTGATTACATGATTAGTTGTTTCTTTGTTTTAGTATCCAGAAGCCATGAGTTGTTAACCCTTAGGCTCGGTATTATGGATATCGCAACCTTTCGGCCTTGATTCCATTGTAAATACCGTAAAACTGGAAGAAATGTGGCTTTTCTGCCTACCCCCGGGAGCGAACCCGGACCACAAGGAGATCTTCACCCGGTCACCGCGCAATCCGGTTTAGGCACATGATAAGTTACCTTCTCATCCTCCCCGCGGTCGCCTATTGATTACATGATAAGTTACCTTCTCTTCCTCCCCTCGGTCGCCTATTGATTACATGATAAGTCACCTTCTCCTCCTCTCCTCGGTCGCCTATTGATTACATGATTAGTTACCTTCTCTTCCTCCCCTCGGTCGCCTATTGATTACATGATTAGTTACCTTCTCTTCCTCCCCTCGGTCGCCATTTGATTACATGATTAGTTACCTTCTCTTCCTACCGTCAGTGCGCTTATTGATTACATGATAAGTTACCTTCTACTCCTCCTGTCGGTGTGATACAAGGAACAGGATGTTTTCAAGTTCCAGCTCCGTCCGTTCAGTAACAGATATTCATGTAGTTCCCGGTCTGCCTCTTCTCCTATTCCCGTTTACTGATCCCTGTCAGTGTTGTCTATATAGGACACAAGTCTTTTTGACTGGCACCAAGAAAAATGGAAATCTTCCTTTGCTGCTGAAGATGAGGACGAAGTAGTTATGATGGCTATGATGGCAGTTCTTAGCTGAATACTCAGTACTCTTTTTCTCTTTGTGTGGGTTCTGGGATCCTATTGTGGCGACAACAAAAAAATGCTTCGCCATAAACTGCCCTCTCCACCTGAGTTCCCGGGGCCCATTGTAAGACGATAAAAACACGAATGGACCCAATGGTTCCGTTACTAGCATGATGTATTCATTCATTCATTCATTCAGTAGCATGTCCCTCGCGGAACCTCGCTGCCATAACAACCCTCCGGAAAACCTTCCTATCCTGAGCAAAATGTCCTGCGTCTGATACACCCATCTGGAGATCATCTGCCACATCCTGCACCCATCTTCTCCTTGGCCTTCCTCTTCCTCTCTTCCCAGGCATTTACCCCTCCATTATTGTTCTCTCTAGACTTCCATGACGTTTCAAGTGACCAAAATATTTCAATTTTCTTTGTTTTATTGTCTTTACTAGCCAACCCTCTTCAATATTCAGCTCTTGAAGTATGAATGCATTTGTTCTTTTCTTCACCCAAGATATTCTTAGAACCTGTCTGTAACATTTATATTCAAATGCATTTATGCGCTGTTCCGCTTGTTTAGTAAGTGTCTAGGTCTCACAGGCGTATGTTGCAATAGGAAAGATGCATGCTCTTAAAAATCTGACCTTTGTAATTCTATCTGTACAATTCCATAATTTATTCAGTTGTTTTAGTCTTTGAAGAGCAATTGATAGTCGCCGTTTAATTTCTTTCATTGTGTCACCATTGTTGGTAACCAGTGACCCAAGATATTCGAAATTTTCCACCACTTCCAATCTTTCCTCATTAACATATATTTCCTTCTCCATGGCAGTTTTGTTTGTATGCATTATCTTATGATGTATGATGTATGGGTGGACTAATTAGGGGTTTCCGTCGAAGTCTGATTACCCCTGTCTGAGAAGCACGGAACCAACCCGCACTCAGTGAAGCCAGCTATGTAAAACCGACGTGCACACAACACTCATGTTCCAGAAGAACATGACGAACTATCGGAACTTTCCGCGGGAGCCTACAGCTGGTAAACGTGAAGAAGGGAAGGAAAAAAAATGTCGATGATTTCCTTCCTTATATCAGGACAGTATTTACAGCTATTGATAATGTCCTTTTATGGCATCGATGTAGGCGATATATACTGGCACTGCCTACTATTACAGATATGATCAAAGTTATACAGCCAAAGTCATATCTCAGTGTAGCTGCAGATAACAAACACCTCCTGCATGAAGCCCAATGTAGAACTAAGGGTCACAGACTGAAAAGAGGAACATCCTAAAAAGCCCTAGCTGATGACACGTCTGCAGATCTGATAACACTGGGAGAGAAAAGGAGTGAGTCAGAATATTCAAGCAATATTCCAAATGTCAGACTCCTGACTGATTTGATTTGATTTGATTTGATTCAAGAACCGACATCACAGCACTGGAGGCATTCCCATAAGCTCTCCGTCCCCATCTTCAGCAGCCAGCGAAGAGTTCCGATACTAATGGTGCCAGTAGAGCCTTGAGCATCTGCCAGAACCTCTCGTCACTACCCGCTGCATCAATATTACCAGACTGTGTTGGTCCATCTGCTCCTCTGAACTGTACACGCTCTACCACAAGGCACTAACCACGTCTGTCTTATTATGTATCAGTATTCCACCAGGTTGTGCAGAGCCAGTCAGTCTGTCCGCCTGTTTATGTCAAGACTCCTGTAGGATTCTAATCACACTAAGCCGTGAGTGAACGGACTGGTCAGCGATAGCCGCAGAATTAGAAGTTCGACAAATGATTCATGACCGTTCCCGCGCAGGTGATGTGATAATCTATACAGTTGGATCTGTCTTGTTTTTGTTTATGTTTAGTCGACAAATCAACATCACGGCACACTGGTGTAACCCATAAGTGCTCCATTCCACTCCTAACTCAAGTCTAAGTACTATGTAGCTCAGCACAGTGCATGCGCTCCGTAGTACCGGCGAGGATCCTGCATTATTTTGTGTAGATTTTTTAACGTCAACTTTTTCCCGGGCAGCGCCGTTATGCTACTCCTTTTGATTTCAAACTGCCAAGGGATTTTTTACGTGTGCAACAATACACACGGACGTCCGATCTCACTACCCAGAGACCACGAGAAATTTCTGGAAGTCCATGTGGACAGAAAATATCCCAGCCTTCACGGGGCCTGAACTCTGGACCTCTAGGACTCAAGGCGGACACCATACCCCGAGTCTACGCAGCTCTCAAAATTATAATGATCAGAGAGCACCATGAAACAGCCACCTTTTAAGGTTTAATGAAAGCACTTAATTCTGTTCACCAGTCAGTCATTTTGTCTGCAATTGCCTATGCTTCTTTTGCTGTCTTCTGTCCGTCGCTCATTTGGGTGCAATGATGATAAGCTGATGGTGATGACAAAGATGATGATGATGACCTGATGGTGATGATAACGATAATGATGATGAGCTGATGGTGATGATGAAGATAATGATGATGAGCTGAAGATAATGATGATGAGCTGATGATAATGAGCTGATGATGATGAGGTCATGGTGATGAAAAGGATAGTGATGATGAGCTGACAATAATGATGATGAGCTTATGATAATGAGCTGATGATGATGAGGTGATGGTGATGATAAAGATAATGATGATAGGCTGATGATGATGATGACAATGATCATGATGTGCTGATGGTGATGATAATGATAATAATGATGCGCTGATGGTGATGATAATGATGAGCTGATGATGATGATGAGGATAATGATAATGATGATGAGGATAATGATAATGAGCTGAGCCGATAATGATGATGAGCTGATGATGATGAGCTGAGAGTGATGATAAAGATAATGATGATCAGCTGAAGATAATGATAATAAGCTAATGGTGATAGTAATGATAATGATGATGAGCTAATTGGGATTATACAGTAAATGATGTTGAGCTGATGACGAAGAGATGATGATGATGATGATAAACATAGTGATGATGTGCTGATGATGATGATAAAAATAATAATGATGAGCTGATGATAATAAAGATGAGCTAATAATGATAAGCTGATGGTGATGATAGTAATGAGCTTATGATTATGATAATGAGGAGCTGATAGTGGTGATAATGATGAGCTGATAGTGATGATGATGCGGATAATGCTGATGAGCTGAAAATGATATTGAGCAAAATGATAATGAGCTGATAATGATG